TAAAGGTGAGGAGACACATGGATGGCATTTAGTTTCTTCCCAGATCCCATTAATTTTTCCTATTTATTATCTGTACCAAACAAAAGACAAAATCATCAAACTAACCCCCATAATAACACAAAAACAGAATGTTGCAAAACTTAATCGTACATAAGAGTACTTGAAAGACATCAAACACTTGGGTTTCCAGACTGCCTGCCCTCCCTCAATGGTGCTGTAAGTTAGAAACCCACAGCATCTGGGAAGTCAAAGTGTGGGAGAAAGGTAACAATTAAAGCTCATTTTCATTAAGAAAAATTTTCACTTTAACTTCTTTTGTATTGTGTTTTCTTCTTCAACGACCAAAGGTAACAACCCAATAATGATAATAATTTAGACTAAAAATTAGAATTTATGCCACATTGACCTTTTACTACATAACAGCCACAAGTATAAACAATTTACACTTATTATTTTATGAACTCCCGTCAATAATCCATCCCATGAAGGTCACTACCTTTTGTTTCCTTTTATACGTGAGGAGAATTTGTATAGTAATATCTACAAGGTAGAAAGAAAACAAACAAACAAACAAAAAACAGGATTCCAGCAGATAACTCTAGAATACGAGCAATTCTCAGGTAGGGTGAAAAATATTACTAAGCATCACTTCATAAGCAAAATAAAAAGTAAGGCATGAATAAACAAAAACGGGAAGGATAAAAAACTAAAGTTGAAAACCAAACAGGGTTTGGTTTATGATTGTATGTACTTGTTCCACAAGCAAAATGAAATTACAATAGTTCACACTAATAATATTCTGGGGAAAAATTCAACATTTGGAACTAAAACATGAGAATAAACATTGCAGAATGTATGTGGAATTGGCAGAGAAATAATGTTTCTCAATTATTTCTCGATGTAGCAAGAATAAACATGATTTCCATTCTCTATCAGATAAATATCAGTTACACAAAGATTTATAGAAGAAAACAGAAGCTCAGGCATTAAAGTCTGTGTCATCTTCATGGTTAAGTGCATAGAAATCTCAAGTTTCATATAGCACTTCTTAACGTTTAGTAAGATAGTGGCAAAGTCCACGTCTCTATCACAGCATCTTCAAGTTTATCATCTAATGCTTATTAGTGACAAGGCCTGTCGTACTAACTATTGTTATCCAGTGTCACAAATGTTTGTTGGGCAGAATCAACATCTTAAGAAAGGTATAATTCCTTAAGAGAAATGAAGCAAACAGCAAGTGAACAAACACACACATTTTCACCTACAGCAGTTCTATTTATCTTACCTACTAGTGCTAAATTTCACCTATTCAGCCATTTCTTCATGTATGCACACATCCAACCAACATTAACTGAACACAGCTCAGGCCCCTGGTCAAATGTCAGAAATGCATGACTATGTCCATTTAACAAATAAGTACCTACACTGTGCCAGTCCCTAACTTCCTTGTGGATTAAACATAGCTGAAAAGAGAATAATTTCATGGGAAAAAAGGTTTTGAAGAAATTATCTATAATTTAGCCCAGAGATATAAATAGAAAATATCTAAGAGATTAGGGCACTGCAAGCTAAAATGAGATCACACACACATCTAACTGGAATTCAGAAAAAGGTAATAGAGGTGAAGGGGAAGACGCTATTTTTGAAACAATAGTATCTTTCTAAACAAGACCATATACTCCATATAGTCATAAAAAACTGGCATCTAGTAATACAATTGTGAACAGCAACAAAATACCCAACTTAAAAGCAGCAATTAATTAAACAGAAAAACCTTAAGGAATACTCAGCTCTACTGTATACACATAGGACATAGGGCATTTATTTCATCTGGGAAGGTCTGAAGCTAGCTTTCACACTTTTTCACTTCATCAAACATTTCCAATTTCTAGCTGTTCACCTTGAATTCATAATCTCCAATCATAAATTACAAGCTATATTAAAATACAATTATATGTATCTTTATAACTTGCTTTGGAAATAGGCATCATTGCACTCAAATTGCAACCTTTACAGGACACTAAAGTAATGTAATTTAATAACTAACACAAATATAACAATCAAAACCAGCATGTTCATAAACTTTTTGAAATTAAGTAATTTGCACCAAAAATAAAAGTTTTACTTCATAATATGTAATACTGATGTGCTTTCTGTATAGTTTCTTATAAATATTAGATGCATATTACTTTTCATAACAAGAAAGAAAAACATAATACAAAATTGTCACTTCAACTATATAGTCAATAATAATTCACTATTTCATTCTCCTAGGAATTTCATTCTCCTAGGAAAATTCTCCTAGGAATTTTTCTATTATTCTACATACCATGCAAGAATAAATATAGAATTAAAAACCCTTTTCAGTTGAGAAAGCTGAGTGCTAAAGTATTAATAATATTTTCTCTGGATGATATCAAGTATGTATAACACTTTAAACACATTTTATAATTTTAAAATTAGCATGCCACTTTAATTAGTTTAAAAATATGGTATGTTTAAAATTCTTTGATAGCTCTACTCCAAATTAGTAAAGAATTTTTGTCTTATTGTCTAAGTACGAATTAAATAACAATTAATTTGTCTTTTCCCCAAAGTTCAGAGTAAATGACAATCAATTCATTGTTCCCTAACTACAGAGTAAATAAGATTTGAATCTGAAGAATCACTACTGCCATACTAACCTCTGTCCAAAATAAATGGATGGATGGATAGGTGGATGACAGAAAGACAAACAGATA